CCTCACCCAGGCTGGCCAGGCACCCCAGCGGGGCCCCACCTTGACCTGGGACACCCTTCAGGGAAAACCAGCCAGCCCCCACCCATGCACCAGGCCTCTATCCTATATAATAAAAGGGTAATATGCAAATTGACCCTAACAATAGAATGACTGGGAATGACTGGTCACTATGAGACACACTGACCACCAGGGGCCAGACGCTCAATGCAGGAGCTGCCCCCTGGTGGTCAGTGCGCTCACACAGGGGGAGCTATGCTCAGCCACAAGCCAGGATGACAGCTGCCAGTACAGTGGTGGTGGTGGGAGCCTCTCCCGCCTCCTCAGCATTGCTAAGGATGTCCAACTGCAGCTCAGACCTGCTCCCTGCTGGCAAGTGGACATCCCCCGAGGGCTCCTGGGCTGCCAGAGGGATGTCTGACTGCCAGCTTAGGCCCAATCCCCCAGGAAGCGAGCAGGTGGTCATCCCCCTAGGGGTCCCAGACTGCGAGAGGGCACAGGTCGAGCTGAGGGACCCCCTGAGTGCACATTTTTTTGTGCACCGGGCCTCTAGTATTAAATAAATAAATAAATAAATAAATAAATAAATAAATCTCAAAGAGTCCACAGGGTCAGCCTTCTAATCATATTTTACTTTTTAGGCTTCTTGTGTTTGTTTGTAAATACTTTTATATTCCGACTTGTTTTCCCTTTTATTCCTATTTTCCCATCTACTGTCACCTCTTTTTTAACTCAAGTAGGCCAATGAACTCCCCTCAGCATCCTCAAGCAGAATCTTTGTCAATCTGTTTTGTGTACTTTTTCATTTTCAGTTCTCCCCCAATTTTTAGAATAAAAACCACTACCTAGTTTGCTACAGTGTTAGTGATGGGTGGTTTAAGGGGGTTTCTTCTTTTTTTAAAAAAAAAAATATATTTTATTGATTTTTTTACAGAGAGGAAGGGAGAGGGATATAGGCCAATGAACTCCCCTCAGCATCCTCAAGCAGAATCTTTGTCAATCTGTTTTGTGTACTTTTTCATTTTCAGTTCTCCCCCAATTTTTAGAATAAAAACCACTACCTAGTTTGCTAAGATACTACAGTGTTAGTGATGGGTGGTTTAAGGGGTTTTCTTCTTTTTTAAAAAAAAAAAAATATATTTTATTGATTTTTTACAGAGAGGAAGGGAGAGAGATAAAGAGTTAGAAATATCGATGAGAGAGAAATATCGATCAGCTGCCTCCTGCACACTCCCTACTGGGGATGTGCCCACAACCAAGGTACATGCCCTTGACGGGAATCGAACCTGGGACCTTTCAGTCCGCAGGCCGACGCTCTATCCACTGAACCAAACCGGTTAGGGCTAAGAGGTTTTCTTGAAAGAGTTACATCTCACTTTGCTGAATCAGGATATCATCTTCTTTCATCCTCATATCAAAAGGCCAAACCACCACTTGGTATAGGCTTATTTTCATTTACTTGAAAATGAAGGAGCTACCAACAGACTTTCTGGTGACGGGAAGGAAGATAACTAAATCCATTATTTTAGACAACAATGCGTGGTTCTCAAAGAGTTAGAACAACACCACCACCCCAACCATTTAAAGGAAAGCCAGATGTAAATAAGAGGAAAGCAAATTCTGTAGCTTTAATAGGCACCCATGATTGGAGGTGAAATGGGCCAGGAAAAAGAAAAGCAAAAAAATAAAAAGTAAAAAGACAAAGGTACATATTGTTAGGAATCTAATAAAGTATTTGGAACCCTCCCAAAATTTAGTTAACATCAGATGTGGCATTTGTTTTCACCCCTCCCAAACAGGATACCATCTCATAAATCTTTTAGTAATAATCATTAATAAACTAACTGTTCAAAATCCTTTAAGTGCCAATTATATGTGAAACATTTTGCTAGCTGCTAAACAACATAGGAGAAAAATAACATTATATGCCTGCCTTTAAGAGTTTTACTATCTAGCTGCAGCCATGGAGACTACCAGGCAGTATTGGGATTTTTGGGGAGATTTCAAAGAGACATTAAGTACTGAAAAATTCAAAATGAGTGGGTAAGCATTGAGGATTTGAAAAACTTGGGCTTTATTCCATCCTTGCCATTTCTTTGCTAACCACCACTTGGTATAGGCTTATTTTACCTAGCTATGTTACCTTGAGCAACTCCTTTCTCTTTCCCCCTTTATCCCCTCTCACCTCCCCCCCTCTTCTATCTCCCCCCCCCCCCTCTTCTATCTCCCCCCCCCCACACACACACACACAAAGAAAGAGGTCATTCTGTTACAGGCAGTTAGAAAGACAGGAGCAGAGTGAGGACAATGGGCCAGGTATAGAAGGTCACCAGGATGGAAAGTCCTGGGTGCCTACTAAGGGGCTAAACTGAGAAAACAGGACCTCACCCCCAGGGTAACCTTTCCTCCCGAGCATATTGCTGGTCCTGGAGTTTAGACCCCCTGACCTTTTCCTCCCTAAAGATAACATCTAGGCCTCAGTTGTATTTCAGCTCCAGGCCCAGAAAAGCAGCCAAATCGGACAAGTGATGCCATGGCTGCCTCAGGACCAGCTGCAATTACTAATGACCCCCTGCCCTGGTGAGGTCCAATCAGTGGAGATTGCGACCTTGAAAGAACACACCTAGAAAGCTGCTGAATATTCACTGACGGCCTCCCCTAAAACCAACCCTAAGATTCCCACCTGCAAGAGAGAGAAATACCCTCAACACAAAGGACCCAGTGCCTGCTTTCTGGTTTCTGCCAGGGGAGCACACCCACGTCATTCTCTTCTCCCCCTTCTTCCCTCTAAGGGACCCCAGGAGACTTGCAACTGAGCAATGGACAGCGGCAACTGGTCCTAGGCAAATTCCCTGAACCTAGGCTCTCCTGCTGCTTCTTCTATCTATGCCCTTCCTTGTTTCACTGTCCTAAGTGAGTATTTACTGCGGCCAATACATTCTTGCTTGCTTTGCTGCACTTTATCTCTTGATTGGAATCACTCCTTCAAGAAGATAAGAACGGAGGTCTCATCTCGCCAGTTTACAACTCCAGATTTCTAAAATGTAAGAATATTTGGTATGATTGTTGTTTTGCCCAGATTGAAGTGTACAGCTAGAGCCCCCTGAGCTGCCCTTTATTTTCATAGACTAAGAAATTGTACAAAATTTCCCCAATTCAGTAGCAAGTCGGGGCTTAGATCAAAATCTTTCTATCCTGATGCTGTTAAAAAAAAAAAAAAAAAGAATCCTGCAACGAACAGTGCATCTTTTAAAATGATCACTGTGACTCACAGACAAACCTTAAAATATATTCTTGACACCGTTTACTGTGAAGTCTGTTTTTTAAATCTTGGTACATGTGAAAATGGGGAAACGTACTATAGGGAACAAGGTGAACAATTAATTCCTTAGTTTCTGTAAGGCCATATAGTATATACCAAAGCGCTATTGAAATACAGTTCCCTCTGGCAGACCCGTTACACCACTGCACAAGTAGCAGGGCAGCGAGGGAAGCCAACAGATGAACCTGGAGAGCGGGGTGAGGCTCAAAGAGGTGATAAACTGCAAAAACACTTGTCAGATGCACAATATTGTCCAGAGCCAGACCTAGGGAGCACCTTCCGAAAGCCTGGGGCTCCGCGAGCCCAAGTTCGCACGCTTCCAGGCATTCTATTGATTCACACTTGCGTCCTTCAACAGGTAGCGCCAATTACAACCCCTAAAGCACGGCCGCCCAGCATACTGGCCAATCCCGCTGTCAATCAAACACTGCACCTACCTTTCCAAATTCTCCCCTCCCCCTTTCATTGGCTTTTCCTTCGTCCAATCCTCAAATTTCTTCTGGGCTTTGGCACTTGGCCCCATCCAGCCTAGGACTGGAGCGGAAGCTACTCCCGCCCTTTGATGTCCGGCGCTCTCCGCCCCTTTCCCCCGGCCCGCGCGGCCCGGCAGGAG